CTCCCTGCTGAGCAGAGAGCCCGATGCGGGACTTGATCCCAGGACCCTGAGATCATGACCTGAGCCGAAGGCAGCGGCTTAACCCACTGAGCCACCCAGGCGCCCCAGATACCTTTCTTTCTTTCATTTTTTTTTTTAAAAGATTGTATTTATTTGACAGAGATCACAAGTAGGCAGAGAGGCAGGCAGAGAGAGAGGCGGGGCGGAGGGGGGGGGTGTGGGTGGGCAGGAAGAAGGCTCCCTACTGTGCAGAGAGCCCAATGCAGGGCTAGATCCCAGGACCCTGAGATCATGACCTAAGGCAAAGGCTTAAGCCACCCACGCACCCCATGAACTAGAAACCTTTCATTGTGGGCCTGGGGAGCAAGGTGGAGTCAGCCTAGGAGAGGAAGGGGCTGGTCCTTGTGGAGGAATGAGCTGTTGAGTGAAAGCCAGAAAAGTAAACCAGGTCTGTCCGAAGGAACAGTGGGGAGCCATGTAGGGACCTCAAGTGGGGGCGTGTCATGGCTGCCCTGCGGAAGAACCCCCACAGTCCTTCAGTAGGTGAGGAGATGTAGGAAGATCTGGGTGTTGCTACTGCCCTGCTCTCTGGAAGCCAAGAGCAAGGCAGGATGTATCTTGGAGCCTCAGAGTTGGCGATAGAAATGCTAAAAGCTCACCTGGGAGAAAACTCCCGGCTGCAGCCCTCAGGACAGGCTTTCTGGAGGCCGTGGGACTCTAATTGGAGCAAAGGCTGAGTCAGATTCAGGAAAGAGATTGGGAGGGAGAGGAAGTCTGGGCAGGGTGTCCTGAGGTCACAAGGAAGCTGCCCTGAGGGCTGAATAGTTCCGGTGACACAGACTTGAAGTTTCGCAAGGGAGTGGGGGTGGGAAGGCGGTCTGACACCTGAGGTCTGCGCACTAGGGACTGTTTTGAACGCTCTGGGGCTCTCGGCTCCTTTGTGTAGCAATCCTGGGAGGTCATGGATGATGCCACACCCCCTCGGCAGAAAAACAGGAATGGAAGGACAAGAACTTGCTAGGCTCAAGAACATTGAACCTGACAGCTGATGAGTCCGCCTAACTACTACAGATCCACGGCGTCTTCAGCTTTTATCCCTGCACCCCAGAGACCTCTGAGCCTCAAAGATGGGGCACTCCCCACCCCTGCCATGCACAGTCCTGTTTGTCAGCTTTCCACCTGCCTCTGCACCTGTACACCTTTGCCTCTTACCCATTTCCCCTGGGATATTTGGGAGATTTTTTTTTTTTTTAACAGAAAACCCCGACAAACACATATAATATACACACTCCAAAAACAGCTATAACTTTCAACATTTTCAAATCGTGAAGCTTGCCAACAACCTGCAAACAGAGCCCCTTGTGGGAAAACTCGGGATGCTTTAGTGTTGCTCCCCAGGAAACGGGGGTGGGGGTTTGGGGTGATGGTCAATGCTTGTACACCTAGCACTGAGGGAGCACCACTTGTCTGGGGTTCTGCTGGCAGTCCACCTGTTGCCTCTTCTGAAGGCAGAGCTATTGATAAAGTATTTATTTTCGAGAAAACTCAGCCTCTGATTGGCTAGAAAGTCTGTAGAAGGTTTGTATTTTTTTTAAAATATTTATTTATTTGACACAGAGCGCACAAGTAGTCAGAGCCGCCGGGAGAGGGAGAAGCAAGCTCCCCGCTGAGCGGGGAAGCCCAATGCTAAGGCTTGATCCCAAGACCCTAAGGATCATGACCCCAGGGAAAGGCGGACGCTTAACCGACTGAGCCCCCCCAGTCGCCCCAGAAGATTTGTATTTTATGTGTATGGGTTAAGCATGAGAAGAGAAAGCCCACGGGCGGCCTTTGTGTATCTTGTTTCGGAAGAATACGATCTACCTCCCGGTGAGGAAGACTGAAGGAGGCAGTGGGCGTGGGTGAGCGCTCCCAGGTGCGAGGGGCAGGACCCCTGATGGAACTTCTGGAAGTGTTTCATTCATTTATTCACTAAATATTGAAGAGCCCGCTATGGTGGCAGACCCTGTGCTGGGCACTGGGGACGCAATGAACAACACAGCACCCCTGTCCTACCGCTGACCTTCTAGTGGGTCATGAGACACTAAGTCAAAGTGAGCAAAGTAGCAAAGCTGGGCGCAGAAAAGAAGCTGGAGGAGGCATAGGCTGGAGCGTGCCTCAGGGGGTGGCTGCCATATTAACTATGATAATTAGTCACATTTGCTGCGGGATCCTTGCGACGCCTTCGATGTTGTGAGTAGACACCGACGAGTTCCTTTATATCCCCACAGTTTCTAACTTCAAACGGCCCGGGATTTTTCCATAGACCTTGTCACTAGGAAAAGTGGGTTAGAGCCTCAAATTGTGGGTCCCCTCGTATTCGGACCTTTAGGGTAGCGTAGCCGGGGGCGCCGCGGATCCTTGAGGCGTGGGCCCCGCCCCCGACGGCGGCGCGCGTGCGCGGGGATAAAAGCGAGGCCGGGTCGGCGCAAGGTTAGTTCCAGGGCGGGGGCGGAGCGGCGAGACGCTGCATGGCGCAGGGCGGAGTGCGGTGGCCGGCAGCCCTGGGCCTGGCGCTGCGGCTGCTGTTCGGCTTCGGGCTGGGCCTGCAGGCAGCCCCGACCCCGGTGCCGACCCAGTCCTTGGCCCAGGCCCCAGGTGAGTGAGCTCCGCGCCCCGCGTACCCCGCGCGCGCGTCCCTCCGCCGGCCCGCCCCGCGCGCCGGCGGCGCCTCGCCATTGGCTGTGCCGCTCGTGGGTCCCAGACACTCCCCGCGCACGTGGCTCGAGACTCTGGCGTGCAGGGAGCCCGGCCCTTGAGCCAGTCTTCCCCAGAGAGCGACCGTCGCCTGGGTGGCCCTGCCTGCCTCTCGCTGCCCGGCTTCTGCCTTCTCACGCCCCACTCCCGCTCCGCTTTGGCGGATCCCCTTGTCACCTCCAAGCCGCCCTTCAGCCCAGCGTGGGCATGAAGGCTTGCTGGAGGCTCCGGTTGTCCGACCTCTAACTGCATGGCCGGTCACCTGGTGCCTCTTAGCAGCAGCTGCGGCGAATATACCCCCGTCCGACCCCGAGGCCATATGGCTGAGTTTCCTGGGCCACCAGGCCCCACCCTCCCCATCCCTGCGCCTTCCTCCTCTGGCCTTAGAGAGCAAAAGGTTTCTCTCCCTCCCGGTAATCCCAGGCCCTTGGACACCTGCTCCTGGGCCTAAGTGATCTTGGTGGCCATCTCTGAGGTTCCCAGAGCAGTGGGATAGAGTGATCTCCCTGTAGGCACAGGTGATCCTCGCTTTCAGCTGTGAGCTCCCGTCTGATCTGGTCTCCTGGCTCATCCCAAAGACCCTGCCTTTACAGGCTAAATGTTCCTGGGTCCTTTAAGGGGGCAGGACTCACTTTAACCAAGTACCAAACTGCAAGTGGTCTCCTCTTCTCCCGACCCTGAGATAGGGACTCCTAGCGTGCTCCTTTTACAGGAGAGGGAACTGAGGCTGGACGGGAAAGTCACCGGTCACTTTTTCTTTTTTTCCTCCACTGGTCACTTCTAACTCCTGTCTGACCCCACAGCCCTATGAGGCCTGGTGTGCTGTGCTTTGCCCCCCCTCTCCCCCCCAGTATCCAGGAAGAACCCACACTCCAGGGAGGGAGGTCTGGAGGTTGGCAGGGCTGAGAATGGCTAGGCCTGGAGAGGAAACCGCACCCAGAGATGGCCAGACACCCCCAACCCCCTGGGGAAGGAAGCCAGATCCAGGTCCGGCCATACCTCTTCCTGACTTCAAAAGCTCCGGGACTGTGTGGGCCACAGGTATCATTGTGCCTGGGGGCCTGTAGATGGACTGGCTGTGGGGAACAGGGGGTCTGGAGGCACAGGCCCAAGTAAAGGTGAAAGTGGCAAGAGTACCAGGATGGACTGGAGAGCCACTAAGTTGGGGCCAAGCAGGTATTTGCGCCACCCCCTTCTCCCCCACCACTGCACCCAAGAGAAGAGCCTTAAAGGCCATTCCTTTCCTCGGTCTGTTAGATTCCCTCCTGCTGGCCCACGTTCTAGGCCCTTCCATGCTCCTCCAAATCAGCACGTAGCCTGAGCCTCACTGCCTGGGGCCCAGGAAGGCTCAGCTCTCATCAGGACACAGCCTGGACCTTGGTGTGACTCGTGTCTGTATCGCCCTGGGCTTGCGGGCACGAGGTCCCGGCCCTGATCTCCACCACGTGTCCAGTCTGTGTGGATACCAGTTTGAGGACCGTTATTATTGGGGGAAGGCAGAGCGTCAGGCCTCCCTGAGAGGTGCAGGAGACCCTCTCCGAGAAAAAAGCTGAGATCTGAAAGCTGAGGAGGAATCACCAGTTGCAGAGTGGGGAGAAGAGAGGGAGGACTGGGCCAGGAACCAGCACAGGCAAAGTCCCTGAGGTGGGAGCGAGCCGGGCCTCTTGGAGAACAGTGAGCAGGCCAGGGCAGAGGGAGCTGGTTGAAGAGGGAGGAGGAGGGAGGCGGTGAGGTCCAGGAATTGTTCGCAGTGGGGCTGGACCGGGCCTTGCGACCCCATAGACAAAACGGATTTGGCACAAGAGGGTCAGGGGAAGGGGGCATGGTTTTGAGCAGAGGGGAGGGCAAGGGCAAGTGACTGAATGATGTGACTCTGAGGTCCCCAGTGTCCAAATGGAGATGGGGACAGGGCCTTGTGAGGAGGCGGCACATTCAGGATGGGGAAGGTGGTTAGATCTGGGAGGAATTTAGGAGGTGAGTGGACAAGCCTTGCTAACTAAGCAGGTCCTCTGCCCAGGGCCTCAGTTTCCCCTTGGCTAAGCAGGTGGGATATAATGGGCCCTGCTGACCCTGACCACGGGCCTGGTCCGGGGCAGGCTTGGAGATGGCCGCTACCCCAGTGCTTTGAACTGTGGATCTTGGAGGGCCTCTTGGGGAGACCGTCTGGCCTGGAGCCTGGTAAAGACTCTGGGATCAGTGAGACCTGGGTTCAGACCTGGACTCTGCCACCAGCGCTGCAGCCTGGGGCTTTGTCACTCTCCTCAGTGTCTTCTGCAGCATGGGCATGGCAGGAGAACCTGCGCTCCAGGCCTCCCACCGAGTAGGTCCTCCGCAAATGGTGGCTACCAGTGTCATTCCAGCGCCCTGGGACCTGGCCTGTCTCCTAGTGGTCGCAGTCTGTAACCTCCATGCCCCTGGCCTGGCGCCTCCCAGACCTCACTTGTGTGCCCCTTGTAGGCTCCTGCTCGCCCACCAGCTTCCAGTGCCGCACGAGTGGCTTCTGCGTGCCCCGCACTCTGCGCTGCGACGGTGACAAGGACTGCCCCGATGGCAGCGATGAGGAGGACTGCAGTGAGTGGCTTCGCTCTGGGGTCGGGGTCGGGGCCGCAGGGGGTGAGGCGCTGGTGCAAGGGGTGTGGTCTTGGGGGTGATGGGGCGGGGCCTGAGAGTGGGCAGGTCTTACAAGAAGAGGTGGGTTTACTGGGAAGGGGACTTGGGGGCGGGGCTCGGGAAGAAGGGCTTGAAGGGAGGCCAGGCCTCGGCAGGTGGAGCTAACAAGGGGGGATCTTTAGGATGTGTGGATTTTCTAAGGTCACCTGTTCCTGGAAGGCAGGGGCTTATGAGGGGGCTTGGTGGAGGGGCGTACCGCAGCACTGTTGGGTGGGTGTTTGGGACCTGACTGACCTTGTACCCCAGGGATCAAGCCTTGTGCCCAGGACGGAGAGTGCTGGCCACCCACTGGCAGCCCCTGCCCTTGTGACAACATCGCTGACTGCCCAGATGGCATCGTTGAGAACAGTCACAACTGCAGTTCCCAGTCCTGCCCGGCGGGGGAGCTCCGCTGCCTGCTGGGCGGTGCCTGTGTCCCACACACGTGGCTCTGTGATGGCCATCCTGACTGTCCCGACTCCAGTGATGAGCTTGGCTGTGGTGTGTGCCCTGGGACCTCAGCGTGCCTGGAGGGGTGGGGAGGGCTGGCCGTTAGATAAGGACACTTGACACCCTCTGGTGGGTGACCAGGCTAAGTGTGGACACTTGCATCCACCTGGGCCTGCATCCTCTGGGGGCAGCGGGAGATGAGCCGCAAGGTCCCTCCCACCCCTGTCCCCCGCATTTGGAACACATGTTCGTGTCCCCGTGGTCTCCCCGCCCCCCTGCCAGTGCCCACCCCCAGCTGCTGAATGCCTGGACTTATTGCAGAAACTGAGCCCCTCCAGGAAGGGACTGCCACATCCACGGGGACCCCCATGACCCCGCACAGTGTCCCCTCTCTCAGGAATGTCACAGCCACCCCCACTGGGGACGAGGACTCCGTCCAGTCTGGAAACCGGAGTGCTTGTGGGGTTATCGCAGCTGCGGGTAAGATGGCCAGGCCCTCCTTCTCCTGGGGCTTGGGGAGGACACAGGCTGCAGACCCCCTTCTCTGTGCGTCCAGTTCCTGCTCCTGCTGACTCCCGCCTGTCTGACCCTGCAGTGGTGCTCAGTGCCGGTGTGGCCGCCATCTCCCTGTTCGTGCTGTCCCGGTTCTGTGCCCGGGGGCGCCTGCACCCGCTGGGGCTGCTGGTGGTCGTGAAGGAGTCCCTGCTGCTGTCAGACAGGAAGACCTCGCTGCTCTGAGGACGAGCCCTTGCCACCCAGGCTCCCGGTCCCGGAGCGGCGGCAGCTCTGGAGACCTTGGACATCCGCGGCGGCGCACGGGTGCTGGCACACCAGCCCTCAGCCGTTGGTCCTTCTGGCCAGGCAGCACCATGGAGCTGAGCTCCTGCAGCTGGCCCCAGAGAGGCGGGGGGTGCCGGGGCCCCGCATGGGGGGAGTGCACCGCAGCCGGCACGGAGGGGCTGGCCCCAGTCTGCTCCCGGGAGTGGCCCCACACGTAGGCACTCCTCCTGTCCGCATCGGAAGCTGCTGATTAAAGTTACTTCACATCCTCCGTCTGCCTCCGGGCCTCTGTCTCCCTCTGCCCGGGCAGCCCAGGGTCTCCCAGCCCCTCCTCCATGGTGGCAGTGTCCCCAGAGGGTGGGACTCGGGGACCCAGCCCTGGGCGCTCCCTCAGCTGCTCTGCCTCTGGCTTCTTGGGACCCAGAGGAGGCAGCGGTGGGGCTGGGGCATCGGGTGGTCTTCCTTACCCACCGGCCCCTGTGCAGAGTCCTCGGGGACCGCTGTCCGTCAGGCTTCTCGCTCTTTTGGAGATGTAAGCTGGACGTCCCAGGGCTGGTCTGGGCTCCACCCAGTTTTGTTTTGTTTTTTTTTTTTAACGGTTTTATTTGTTTATTTGACGGATCAGAAGTAGGCAGAGAAGCAGGCAGAGAGAGAGGAAGGGAAGCAGGCTCCCTGCTGAGCAGAGAACCTGACTTGGGGCTCGATCCCAGGACCCTGGGATCATGACCGGAGCTGAAGGCAGAGACTTTAACCCACTGAGCCCCCCAGGCGCCCCGTCCACCCAGTTTTAACATGTGGGCTTTGTGGTCTGGGCTGTGGACTGCCACTGAAAAGACTCACAGTTCCCAAAAGATGGGGGGCGGGGGGCACACTACCCCATGCAGGGGAAGAAAGCACCAGGGTCAGGAGGCGGAGGGAGCTCGAGGAGAACGTGGGCAAGAACGTTTATTGTGGTTCCTGTGGGCAGGCGGGATTGGGGTTGGCTCGTTTGAATAATCCCAGTGGGCTCTGGGAGCAGGCGCCGCCTGTCCTGTAGGTACTGGCCTGTTGACAGTGCCACCATGGGCTAGGAGCGCCTGGGGCATCCGCCTGGGTTTCTGCTCTGTCCGGCCCGCCCCCACTTCACTTTCCTGTCTGCAGCCACTGTTACGGCTGGGCCGGCCCTTGTTCTTCTTAGGATCGCTGGACGCATTTCAGCAAAGACTATCTGGAAACTTCGAGGAACGAGGGCGATGACTCACGAGTCCTCACAAGAGGGCACACGGCAGCCTCGAGGGCCATACAGCGAGGTCACGGGGAACCTAGAGAGAGAGTGGACCTGGGGCTCTGCCTTTGTCAGGTCTGAGGGTGGGGTGTCCAGGGTTTTGGGGATTCACACTTTACTGATGGATTTATTTATCTATTTATTTATTTTTAAGATTTTATTTATTTGACAGAAATCACAAGTAGGCAGAGAGGCGGGCAGAGGGAGAGAGGGAAGCAGGCTCCCCACTGAGCAGAGAGCCCGATGCGGGGCTCGATCCCAGGATCCTGAGATCATGACCTGAGCTGAAGGCAGACGCTTCACCGACTGAGCCCCCCAAGTGTCCCCTTTTTTAGTGAATTTGAAGCATAAAAAGAGGAATTGAGGCTGGGAGGGAGAAGTGGGGTAACTTGGGCAATCAACTAGGCCCCCCAGGGCTTTCTGAAAGAGGGAGTTTGAGGGGCAGGGCAAACGAATTCCTTATCTGGCAGTGTTGCTCGGAGCTGGGTTGGATTTTCTTGTTTTTAGGTTTTTCTCCCCTTTGCTCAGGTGTGGTCAGCATCAGTGGGTCAGAGGGCAAGGGAGGAAGGGGGGTATGAAGCCACTGTCACATGTCACCTAAGCAGAGGTCTGGCTCATCCGTCGGCATCACATGGGTTCAGAGGAGCAAACCCCCCGCCACGTGTTTTCTGTCACGTCTGCTGCCGTTCTTCCGTTCCATGTAGTGAATGGTGGCTGCTGTCCTCTGGGGGCTGGGCCGGGTGGACATCAGCATCTAGAATTTCTCTGGCATGTCTGGTGCCTTGGGATGGCCAGGGCAGTGCACCCCACCCCCCAGGCCCCCAGAGCGAGACAGCCCAGCGTCCCTTTTGATGCCTTCTCTTGCTTCTGTGGAGTCCCAGGTTAGCCCAGATGTGCGTGGGGACCACTCAAGGGAATGAACCTTGACAGGACCCGCATCATGGTGCCATCCTTGCAGGCCACCTTCCACAAAGAGGGGAGAGGGCAGAGGATGGGGCAGGCAGGTGTGGGGGGACTCCTGTTTCCATCAGCCAGCTGACTATCTGTGGGCCCACGGCTATGCCCATAGACAGACATTGGTCCCTGTGCCTGTCCCAGCATGCAGATGACAGCAGTTCTGTGTAATGTAATAAGGGACAGCAGTTCTGTCATCTGCTTGCTGGGACAGGCACGGGGACCAGTGTCTGTCGCTCTGAGGAGGCTGGGGTTTCAGCTGCCTCTGTTCCCCAGAGTGGAGCTCACTCTGCTGTCCCGTGTAGCGGGCTCAGTGAGTCACTTCCAGGAAACCATAAGGACAGTCCAAATTTAAAAGTTGGGGAGGGCAGTGTTTGGGGAGCCCAGGAAGAGGAGGCGGTGGACCCTGGCAGGTGGCTGGGAGCCGGTGTGAGGGGGGGCTCCAGGGGAGGATGGGAGCAGGGGGGACGGGTGTGTGCTTGTCTCTCTAACTCTTGACCTTCCTCTTTTTTTTTAATTAAGGAAAAATTAACATTGGATTAACCATAACCAGTTTAAGTAGACATTCCATGGTGCTTAGTACATTCACAGTGTTGGGCACCTAGTTCCAAGACCTTGCCATCCCCCAAAAGGAAACTCTGCCCCCATTAGCACTCACTCCCCATCGCCGTTCCCCAGCCCCCGGCTCCTAATAACCCCCTTTCTGTTTCTGTGGGATTGCCAGATCTGGATATATCATAACGATGGAGTCGCACCATAGGCGGCCTCTGATGCCGTACTTCTTACAGCTACATCAAGTGTTCAAGGGTCTTCCCCCTGCGTTTCCCTGTGCCCCTTTTTTATTACCCCCCTCATGACCCAGGCAATGACTGATTGGCTTCTGACACTATAGATTCATCACGTTTCTATTTTAAAACAATATTTATTTAAATAATCTCTGTACCTAAGGTGGGGCTCAAACTCTCAGCCCCAAGATCAAGAGTTTCACGCTCTTCCGACTGAGCCCCCACTGCAGTTCTAGACGCAGGTAATAGGTGGCCTGTTCTATCTGGTGTCTTTTACGTGACACATTTAAGATCTGTACCCATTGTTGCATGTACTAAAAGTTAACTCATTTTTTTTTAAGTTTTTTTTTTTTAAATTTACCCACTTGATAGAGATCACAAGTAGGCAGAGAGGCAGGCAGAGGGAGGGGGGGAAGCAGGCTCCACACCGAGCAGGGAGCCGGAAGCAGGCTCCATCCCAGGAGCCTGGAATCATGACCTGAGCCAAAGGCAGAGGCTTAACGACTGAGCCACCCAGGTGCCCCTGCTATGAAGTTAGGTTTAAGTTTCTTCATGTGCTCTTACTCCTTTTGGGTAAGTACCCCAGGAGTGGAGTGGCTGCATCACGTGGTAGGTATATATTTAATTTAATTTAATTTTTTTAAGTAGCCTCCATGCCCAAAATGGGGCTTGAACTCACAACCCTGAGATCAAGAGTCACAAGTGCTACTGACTGAGCCAACCAGGTGCCCCTTTTAATTTTAAAGAAATGCCAACGTGCCTTACAGAGTGGGTGCACTCTTACTTTTCTCCCCAAGCAACGTATTCTTGTCCCTTCGCTTGCTGTGGGCAACCTTTGAAATTTTAGCCATTCTAATAGGAGCGTGATAGTATTACACCAAGCCATTGTTTATTGATGTGAAATTGACGTAAGAGAAAATTAATCATTTTAAAGAGAACAATTCCCTGGCATTTAGCACACTCGTAATGTTCTGGAACCAGCACCTCTGACAGGTAGTGTGTGAATCTTTTCACGGGTGTGTAGCATTTCAGAAAATATCGACTTGGGACTTTGGGATTGCAGTGCATTTCTAGGTTAGTTTGTGGAGGAGGACAAATATTCATTGAGCACCGACAGGGTGGCAGGCATTGTAGGTGCTGGAGACTTGCCTGAACGGAACAAGACCCCTTCCCCCATGGAGAGGAGTTAGTGGAGGTGGCGTGATGGAGCAGATGGTCAGCTACTAAACCCTACTAAAACAGTACATCAGTGTCCGACGGTGCTAAGTTCTGGGATCTGAGTACCAAAGGAGGAGGGGTGGGCTTGCTGGGTTGGGGGAAGAAGGGTCACTATCTTTCTATTTGATAATCAAAAGAGGCTTCCAGAACACGGAGACATTCGAGGGGAGACATGAAGGAAGTAAGTTGAACAGTGCGGGTATGTAGGTGGAGAGCATTCTGAGAAGAGCAAACAGCAAGTGCAAAGGCCTGAGGCAGAAGTGCGTTCCAGAAACAGGAAGTCAGGAGGCTTGTGGAGGGGGTGGTGCAGTGGTAAGAGGTGATGTCAGAGATGGCTGGGGTGGTGGGGGGAGGCACAGAGTGAGGGAGGTATGGTGGGTCCTCTCGGAGTTTTCAGCAGAGAGATGCATGGTCTGACTTAGGCTTTGAAGGGTCTTCCTGCAATACGAAAAAATCCCTCTTTAAGGCAGTGATTTATCTAACTGAAAGCTTCTGGCTCAGGACAAGGTTTTTTTTTTTTCATTTGTTTTGTTTCTGCCAAATTGGTTTAGTAACGGCTGTGTGTAGGTACACTTTGTGCTGAAGCCACACTTATATTATAATTTGTAATGCGGAACAAAAAGCCAGAACGGGGAAGAAAGGAATCTTTTGGATGCTTTCTTCTATTCTCATTACGGTGTGAAATTTCCACTTGGATGGGGTTCTTTGGGTTACATGATTAGGTTTCTTCATTTATTCAGAACGTATTTGCTGTAGATGAATGTTCCCAGCCAGCCAGTCGCCAAGAGCCCAGATATAGAACCAGTGGAAAGGTCCATCATCGGATGAATGGATAAACCTGATGGGGCCCATCTGTACGATGGGGTCTTACTCAGCCGTAAAAAGGAGTGAAGTCCTGTTACAGCACAGGAGAGCCTTGAAAATACGCTAAGTGAAAGGAGCAGAAGGTCGGGTATCATATGGTCCCGTTCATATCCCAGGTAGGGGCAGAAAGAGAGTGGTTGCCGGGGTCTGGGGAGGAGAGAGGGATAGGGGTAGGTAGCTAGAGGC